CAACTGGGCCTAGAGCCCCACAGTGCTTCTTCATCCAGGAACTTCACACACCAAAAGCATTACACTTCTCCAATCCACGAGCTGTTTTGTTGCCTCCATTACTGTTCCAAATGAGAATTAGACACAACATGTGCTTAATTCAGGCTGTGAGTTGAGCTGGCAAAAATCTAAGCTTATATCCAAGCTGTGCAAAGAGCTGAGGGGGTTGTTTCCCCCATTTGGTGAAGGAACAGCACTGAAACATCCCAGCCTCACACTGCCCCAACACCCCCTGTAGCACCCCAATGGCCCCGCGCTGTGCCCCAGCTCTGAGCACCAGCAGAGACAGGGATTAGATGTTGTATGAGACTGCTGAGGATGCCAGTACCAAAATGCCCATCTACATCTGCTCTGTTCATCATGTAAACAATTAGAACTGAGGACATAAACCAGTTGTCCCCCAGTTTGGCATCCTGTCATGATGCTGACTAACGCACAGCCTTTCTGAGTGCACAAAACTGTTGTGGGTAACTGAGGACAGAAAGGTTCTGCTGCACTCCTCTGTTCCATTCAGTTAATGGACTGTTATTATCTCCTTCCACAGATCTGTTTCGCTCTTTGCATGCCACCAGGCAACTGTGCAAATGGTTTCTAAACTCATGAAACTCAGTTGGAGCAGTGCTGGGCACTGACTTATTTCATCGTTTTGAGAGAAATTAACTTGGCACCTCCCATTTCTTTATCAGTTGTCTTCATACATCTCTCTGTGATGTTGCCCTTGTCCTTCCCCTGTGATCCCTGACTCTGGATTCACTCGGACTGGTTGCCATGTGGTTTGTGGAAGGACGGGGCAGCTCTTGCCACACAAAACCTATTTGGCCACCTCAGCATTGCAACAACCTAATTCAGGGGCTCCAAAACCAGCAGACTCATTGCCATGACTCTACTACTCCTCCTTTCAAAGCTGGAGGAGGTGGTGAGTGTTAACTGCAAGGCCAGCTTGCAAAGAGCACATTTAACCACTGCACCAGTGGGACCCTTGTGCTGTTTTATGGGATGGGCAGACACTGGAAACATGCAATTCTTTATGGCTCAGGTGACTTTCTCTCCACTCAGGTTTATTATGGTTCACTAAAACCAAAGAACAAGACATTACTTGCACTTGCCAAAAGACCAAGCCTTGAAGCAGAAAACAAAAGCAGACTTAATTGAAGACTTGAGCTGGTGCCACGCTCTGATTACTGCAGCGTAAGATCTTCTCGTCCACCATGCTGTTCCACATGGTCTGGCTGAGCAGCTCCAGTCAAGGATCCCTGGAGCTCTGGGTCTGAATGGGAGGAGGGGGTAACATCTCAAGAGCTCTGTGCTGTGGTGCAGGACCCTGCACACCTGAGACAGCAGTGACACACGGTGCTGGTACCACCACAGGGACACTGGCCACTTCAACAAACAGCTGCAGCTAAAACATAATAGCAGCCAAGAACGTCAAAAGGCACCACTTGGAAAAATACCAGTACTTCAAGCTAAATGCATTTTCTGAGGCTGAAAAACACTCAAATAGGAAGGACAAAGATAGTAAGCTGATTTGGCCTAAGACTGTCCATCTCCCTTGAGCTCAGCACAAAGGGATCCCACAGTTAGACACACAATACCAGGAAGGAATATACATTCAAGTCACATTTGAAGGCAGTTGAATAACAGGAAACACTCTGCTTCATGGGGAGTGATTGCAAACACACAGCTACCTTCACAGACCTCAGTGTGTACACACTCAGGGATCACAAGGGAAGGACAAAGGCAACATCACAGAGAGATGTAGAAAGACAGAGAAACAGGGAACTGGAGGTGCCAAGTTATTGGGAATGAAAACTATTTAGTCCAGCTTCCTGCAGAGCCCAGGCCATCAGATAAGGTGCATCCCAGCAGTGTCCTGTGGCTGTGCCATGACAAACCATCTCTCATGACTAAGGTGGTGACTCCCAAAATCATAATCAAACCACCTCAAAGGCTGCAGGTATGTAGAACAGTTTCTGCACACACCATGCGATATGCTCAGTACATTACTGACCAGAAGTGCTACAATATTCCTTAGGTCCAAATCTCTGAGTGGTGATTTAGCAAATTTACCTTTAGCAGCCATTTAGAAACAATTCCTTTGCATTGCCATCATCTCGTATCATCAGGTCAAATGATACCCTCAAATCAGTTGAGTTTGTGTGAACTTACAAGCACAAAGACCAGCAGAGATCAGTAAAAGATTGACTTTTACTGCAAACCTAACAGTAACTTCTCCCCCAGCACTCACGTTCACATGCCTGTCCACTCTGCCCAGTGCCTGCAGCTGATTCCCCTGGATCCTATCCTGTCCACTGAGAGCCCCCACACATCTTGCTCCTTGTCAACAGGACAACAGAGCCCTGTTGTCACCCGATTTTTGCTCTACCAGTTGCATTTCTCTCCCAGGGATGCTCACCACACCACCAGCACTTTGTGTGCAGCAGCATGTACAACTGCCATCTGTCCAGCTGGCACGTCTTCAAAAAGTATTTAAATATCTGTGGAACTTATAAAAGTGTAAATGAAACATGACAAAAACCATAACACAACATAATGTACGCCTGCAGTGAGGGCGCAGCAGCAAGTTCACAATGGGAAAACCCCTGCACAAGCGCTGCATAATCCCCTCCCCATCCGTGAAGCCCCCCCCATACCCAGCAGCTCCAGAGCCAGCCTGCTCCCACCTGCAATGGCAGCTGCTGGCTGCAAAGCTTCTTCACTGCCCTTAACTCAGACCCAGCCCCATCCTGTGCCAGCACCAGGTGTGTGCACTGCTTTTGCCATGTAAAGCATCCTTCAAACTTACACCTGAGCCATTTCCCTAATTTAATAGGAGCTGCAAGAGGCACTTCCACTGGTCTTGTCAAGGCCCAACTTCTCTTTGGACAACACACAAGAAAACAGTGCGAGTAAAACAAAAATCATGTCCTGTATGTCTGGTCTGAAAACATATGAAATAAATCTCACACATCATTCTTCATAGCCAGCACCCCTCCTGCTTCTTCCCATACAGCCCATGGTACTTTCAACTTCTCAACAGCAGGGATTCTCAGAAGTCCCACTTGAGGGAGCGGGAGGTGGTGGCACAAGAGCTAACACAGATGGATGCTGAAGGCCCATTATTCTCCATCACCTTAAAGCTTTCCAGGTAGGCTTCTCAGCCCTCACCCTTAGTGATGACTTTCCTTTGCCACACTCAGACTGTATTAGCACTTCCAACACAGGTCAGGTATTTCTCTTTAAGGCACTTAAACCACAACTGTGAACCAATATTAGAGGGGACTCTGCTGCCGACCAAAGCTGCTTGCAAATAGGGTTGGGGGGTGGGGGTTGTGTCAAGGATCTGGGCCTGAAAGGCTGTGAGCAGAAACACAAGGTCCCTTTTTCTGTCTGCCACAACTGCAAATCGCTTCGCATGTCCTGTAGCCGGAAATGAAAGTTCCTGCATTTGTCTGCTTTTAAAGCAAAACACAACAAGCCAAAACATCCTTCAGACAGGAAACTGCCAGCCTCCAGTAGCCAGGCACAGCACAGCTGCTTACATGGGTCTAAGATGAAACACGCACATAACTAATGCAGTGCAAACACAAAAGTGGTAAAATTCATCCCTTGTTGCTGGCCCCAGCTAAAGACTGAACCTTTCCAGCATCCCTGCACTGGTTTTCGTGAGGTGGTGAACAAGTGACATCCATCTGTGGCTCCTGTCTCTGACTGCATTCCTAACCGAGCTCTGCTTCACAAATGTGACATCAGCCATGTGCAGAGATCTGAAACCACCAGCCCGGTCCACTTCCTCTGGAACTGAGTGGAGATGGGAAAGCCAAGTGCTGCTTGAGCAGCGTTGGCACCGCATTGGGAGGCTCAGGTCCCACTTGTGGGTCGTGCTGTATGGGAGACACACACAAAACATCACTGAAGCCCGCAGGGCTGCTCAGAGCATGATGTTCTGTGCAGCAGGCAGAAGGGAAACAGGATCAGTCCCCACGTGGCATCCCCATTCCCTCTTTCCTCTTGGATCCAAACCCCTCTCAAGCGCTGCTCTCGCAGCCAGGTGGGTGCTTGGTCTGACACTGCTGACCAGTGCTGCCCAGCATGGGGAGGAAAAGAGGGTCCCCAGAACCACATCTGATTTGGGCTCCAGGAGACAAACCTCCACAGGTTTCACTGAAGTATGTGAAGACCACGGGCTACTTCAGAACCACACGCAGTGACAAACGCGCAGCCTACTCCCACTTACATGTAGATGCTTTTAGAATAATTATAAACTGATCAATCTCCATGTGAGGCAGCAGGAAGGAGCCTGTACGTGCAGTGAGGAGGGCAGGGCAGAGCAGAGCAGAGCAGAGCAGAGCAGGCAGTCCTGAGGACACCAGCAAACGGCCGTTCAGCTCGCACATTTATAAATCATTTACTTCTATCCACCCGTGCCCAGAATAACAACCTGCTGCCTGAAACCTCCGCGCTGGAGCCAGGAGGCTGCCAGAGACTCGCTTTACCGGGACCCTCCAGACCTGTTGGGAAGGGGTCTGGGTCTCCAGAGGGATCTGCCCCTAGTGGGAAGAGGCACGGAGACACAAACACAGGAGCATCCGTTCAGCTGATCGCAGGAGGTCTTCACGCCGCTGCAGCCATCCGTGCGGTTAGACAAACACACAGGCACCGCGTCCGGGGGCTCTGGAAACGTCTGTAGCTGCGGAAACTGCAGAGCCGCTCCGCGGAGCAGCCGTAGGGAGAGGCTCCGCTTCCAGCAGCGGGAGCGTTATGAAACAGGAGCGTGCCGGCCGCGCCGGCGGGGGCTGAGCGCCGGCCGCTGGTGCAGGAGGCCATGGAGCGGCCCCGCAGCTCCCGCACCGCCGCGGCGCAGCACCCCGGCACCCCGTGAGCCGCGGGGCCGTGCGGGGCTCAGGGGCACGGCAGCCCGGGGACGGAGCCCCGCAAGCGCGGCGCGCTCCGGTGCTCGGAGGATTACGGCTGGGAGCGGGATTAGCGGGAAGGGCAGCGGCGGCGGGAGCGGGATTGACCGCGTTACGGCTTTCTGTGGCATTTCTGCGGGCTGTCTGGGACTTCACCTGCCTACAGCCGGAGCGCCTCGGGCACAACGAAAGGTGGGCATCCCTCCTCTTCTTCCTACACAGTTGCATTGTGTGTGTCTGCAAGCTGTTTGTCAGCCGGCCTTGACACAAGTAAGAACCAGAGAACTTTTCGCAGAGGGTGAGGCATTAGCATTCATCGCAGCCTGAGCGGCGGTCTGATTTGTTACATTTATCCATGGATCTGAGCACACCGGGCTTAGCTGCATTATTTATAAAGATTGCAGCTTGCTCTCAAGATGCCCTTTCCCGAGCAGCCACAAAACATCACACTTGAAAAGTGGGGATGGATCATGCGAGTGTGTGTTGTGGCCCCAGCCTGGGGAGGCAAGCAAGAACGCTCGGCTCCTCCAACAGTTTCTAAGCATCCTTGTGCTAAATAAATAGACCCCAGCAATTTTTAGTAGGTGGACGTTGCAGCAATTTGGATGCTGAGGGGTTGTTAAAGACGTTTAAATATCTACGATCTAGTTACAGAGCTGCATGGTGTTTCAATTTCAGTAGATTTCCTTGCACACAGGAAAAGATCTCATCTCCAGCTCCTATGGGCTGAGGCAGATATCAATATAGGGTCTGGGTTTTATGACAACCTCTTACAAAACTTCAGCTTATTGCCACAGAACCACATTGGGGGGGTTGGAAATTGCAGATAAAGCCTCATTTGCTGGGTGCTGGAGTTCTTAATACCAAAGGGATGTACATTATGCATGAATGGTTTGTTATTGATCAAAATACTTTCTAGGTTCAAGAATGCTGATTGCTGATAGGTCTCAGTTTATCAGTGAAGTGTGACAGCAAATTGTGTGTTACCTTTTGAGTGCAAACCTCTGTGTACAGAATGCACACATATATGTGCATGTATACAGACAAAATGTAGGTATGTGTATGTCTGCCCCTTTTCCATACTGGCACGGAATCAGTTCTCCTGATTACTACTTTATCACTGAGCTAGGTAAAAAGTATGGGATTAATGGAATAAATCCCCCTATTGCCATGGTGTGCTCGGTCACAAGCTGTCACTAGACACTTCCCAAGTCATCATGCTGTCTCACAACAACCCTTTTGGACCAGTTCCTCCTGCAGGCCCCTCTGCATCCCTCACCATAGGCAACTGCATTCACCAACACAGTTATTGCCTAGATTTACACCTACCCGTGCTAGAAAATTGGTCTCCAAAAAGTGGAGCATCCAGTGAAAGAGCTGCAGTGACCAAATCCACACAAGTCAGCACTGAAACTCCAGCCTCAGGCTGCAGCTCTGCTCTGCCTTTCACTTCCAAAGCTGAATTATTTATCAGCTGTAAAGCCTGGATATCATGTACATTTGTAACTTCTGTATTTTCAACTTGATTTGACTAGTTTATGGACCACAGAGTTTTTCTCCATCTTTTTACTATCTCTGCATAAAGATGTTTTTCTGCCTTATCACAGTTCAACATTATTGAACAGCTTTAACACAATATCAGCATCAAAGGTAACTTTGCAATCTGACTACCTCTGGTAGCAAGTGCACTTGTACCCAGCAACAGTAAGCTTGCCAGGAAGCCCTCTCAAGCTGCAATGTTTGCCACTGCAGCATGTAGTGAAATTGCTTCTACCTCATCTCTAGTTTGCTGGCAAACCTTAAAGTGGTGCTTAAAGTAACACTCAAAGCAGCACTGTGTCAGGAAAGAGTCGCTCATGAGGGGGCATGTGCATAGAGTCAGTACAGATCCATCCTCTAGCAAGTGAATCTCAAAGTTGGAAGAAATGCTTGTTGCTTCTGAAAGCCCAGAGTAAGGCCACATCTTTTGGGAGGGAAGCTAGCGTGACACATCAGAGCTTCTGTGTCAGGACAGGCTGCAGGTCCCTGCGCTAATGTCTCACTGATCACCTCATTACTTACTGAAAAGCACTAGACCATAAGCTTCATTTTGATGGGAGAGAAGTGGAGGAGTTTGTTTCTAGAAATATCTACAAACCAAATTATTCTCTAAGTCAGACAATTGGAGGTAACTTGGGAAGAGGTGGGAAGAACCCTTGTTCTGTATTCAAATACAAACCCTCCACAAGTTCTGCAGCAGCAGACCTGAGTGGTGTGGTGTGCTTTGCATGGAGGATGCAGGATGAGCACTTGCAAAGCACAGGCACGAGCTCATCCTCAGCCTTGCATGACTGAACTAAACATTCCTGCTTGGGACAGAGGAGAAAAGCAACCTCAGCTTCCCATGTGCCTTGCAGGAAGGACTGGGATGGGAGAACTGGAGCACAATGGAGCAGATCCTCCTGGGCTTCCTCTGCAGGGTTATCCAAGCAGGAATGCCTGCCCAGGGTGCTTCTACCTCTCCACCTCAAGCCAAACACTCTGGGAAGGTTGGGTGGCTGAATTCTACATGGGTCCCGCATGAGCACTGCATTGTAATTGCCAGAAAGGTCAACAAGCAGGTTATATTCCATAGGCCTTATCTCACTGTAAAGTACACATTTAAGTTGGTGAAGGGATTCTGTATAACTCTTAATGTACCTCTTTATCAAATATTTCCTCTCTTTTTTGGTAAAAGAATGTCCTACAAAGGGCAATGGAATTACAAACTCACCTCTTATTCTTCCCTTTGCATGAATTCCTAAATTATAGTTAAGTTAGTGAGATGATTTCAAGTGACACTTCCTTAAGGAGCTGGAAAAGGTAACAATGGACCTTAACCGAAATCCATCCGAATCAACCTGTATCTGAGCGGGTTTTGGCTTAACACAGTGGAGAGCTAGGATGTTTCTTCTAAGCTGTACTTGTAGCATGTGTTGCTTTCCCCACGAACTTCTCTGTCAGTTCCACCCGAGGCATGAGGGGAGAGCTCAGCTTTTTTAACCCCTTTCTCAAAATCCAGGAGGCTGTTCTGGCCACGTGTGAAAGCACTGGCAGGTTCTCAGAGTGCTTTTAGCAATGGGAACAAGGCGAGCTGCAAACACCTGACAGCATCCCAACGCTCAATCTGCAGCTTCTCCAGAGGTTTTCTGCCTACGTGCTCTCACACAGAATGATGCTGGCCTTGACTTTCCAAACAGCCTCAAGAAAATGGATGCGGGTATCCAAAAGGAAGGCCACAAGCCAGACTCCTGCTATGTCCCGAATGACTCCATTTGTCCCCAAAGACGGATGATGAAGGGAAGGAGAAATGTGGAAGAGGGATGGATTTTTCTAAACCCAGTGCTCAGGAGTCAAATTCCCTTCCGTTTACAACAGCAAACACAGCTTTGCTTCCGAGCCAAGGCCTCGGAATCTGCAAAATCCTGCTGGTCTTTAGACAAGATCAGCTATTGATGAGCTGGAGCATCAATGCAGTACTGACCCAAGAATCTGCATTGAGCAACCTCTCAAGGGGCAGCCTCAAATGAGCAACTCCTTCACCTGCAAGTTGGGGCTGTTCTTTAGTGTCTTCAGACTTCCCCAGCTTTTGTAGCATCACTGAAAGCATTCAGCCTTCCCTCAAAAATTCCGTAACTATTCCTGTAGCTAGGAGAGCAGAATTGCCAAGAACTTTATAACTCCTCCTCTATTTCTCTTTACAAATATAGCAATAAGTACAGGTATAAATCTGATACTATATATGTAATGAAAGAAAAATAAGGATTAAGAGAAAACCAGCCCAGAAAATGGGAGACACCTCAGGTCTGGCAGCCAGTCCTGTCTGTGCGCTTCCCAACACCGTGCATGTCCTCACCAGGACACCAGGGGAGGGGAACACTGACTGCACAGTGCTCCGAAACAGGCAGCACCTGCAGACGGGTCCCTCCTCTGCCTCCTGCCAAAGAGCTCCCCACAGCCATGTCAGTGGTTCCCTACCTGCTAACCACATCCTTGCTATGAAATACTGATAGAGCTGGACAGGATCCATTGCCCCTCACCAGGCACAGCCGTTGCTGCTGCCGGGCACACCGAGGAGCTGGGCGCTACATGCCAGCCAGAGCCCATTGTGGAGGATGCTACCGCAGCCCCCTCAAGGCCTGCTGCCCCTGCCACCCCCTGCTCTGGGTAGGGCCCCACAGGAACAGGTCCTGAGCAATGTGGCTGCAGGAAAGTTGCAGAAAAGCAAAGCAGCATTTCTGGGGGTGCTGGTGGGAGACACCTTGACCGAGCACTACAGGCTCATGCAAGTCCTCTGGGAGAGCATCCCTCACACTGCACCAGCACTGACTGAACAAACACCCCTCCGCAGCACTGTCCGGGAGGGTCCCCAGTGTGGGGACAGGGCTCCAAAACCAGGCTACAGCTGCAAAGCCACTGGTGATGAGGTCACACCAGATCAAGAGGGATCCCTCTTCTAAGGTATTGGCTGCCCCAGGGACAATCACAGCATTGCCCAGTTTAGGAAACGAATGGGAACAGATTCATAGTGTGAGACTCTGGGATTTCAGGCAAGATGCGTTTCTCACTCTGCGTTCAGTCCTGCTGGCACATACAGGGGAAAAAACCCCTCAAACTACTTTTGTCTAATGACGTTTCCAGCCACAAACACCTCAAAATGCTGTTCAAACAACTGCATGGTTACCTGACTTCTGAACAGTCAAAAATTCACCGGTCACCTGTAAAGGGAATAGATTGGTATTTCATAAAATCAGATCCCTCGAGGCTTTTCTGAACCCCATCAAGTTCATGCCCTCAATAACTGGATAATCCCCCATTTTATAAAATCACAGGCACCAGACACACGAGGGCTGGTGACCAACACAAGGGGTCCTTTCCTTGCTGAAGGCTCAGCACCATTGCAGCATTAACCCTTTCACTGTTCAGTCCACCCAAAGGTCCTCTCCGCTGTTTATCAGTTCTCATTTCCCATCTCAAATCCTTTCAATTACTGTTTTATGATTTCACTGACAAGCTCAACCCTCAATTAATATGGTCCTAAAAGCCCTTTGGCTGGAAGAACTGATAAATAGGAACAGAAGACTCTTAATTTTCCTCCATTTCACTTCATTTTAAAATGAAACATGTATGAAAAAGACAAATGATACATTTTCTATTACCAGACACTAGTTCATATCCTCCTTACTCTTTCCTTTTTAATATCATCATCAAAAGTGATGTACTTCAATTCTTTTAGGCATACTTTGATGATACTGCATTACGCAGTTTATGGAAAATTCAAATGACATTTCTTTATGTCAGCAGCACTCTGCTATTTCCCCACTAAAAAGCAACGTTTAATTTCTGAGTTGCACATTTGCAGCAGTTGCTGTGGGCGGAGAGTCTGCTTATTTATTTGCTTGGGTTTTACTACAATGTACTGTCATGGCAACTGTACTGAGGGGGAATGCATCTGGAGGTAATTTATATATGTCACATTGACTGCAGTGGCGCTGGCTCGTACCATTTAAACTTTCTCAGGCACTGGGCAAGGGCAGCGTTAGCCCTGTGAGACCCAGAAGCAGCTGCCCCTTAGTAACTAACTAGATCATTAAGCCATGCAGAGCAACAGGAGCAGTGCCAGATGATGCTTGGTGCTTGGAAGCAGAGCTTGCTGCATACTTCAGCCCAGTCCAGTGTCTCGGGCAGCGACTCTGGCTCTGCTGGTGCACAGCAGGTTTTCACCCTGCTCATGTGGGAGGCAGCACATCGAGCCCTGCACAGGCGCTCTTTGGGCAGGCGGTGCCCAAACCCGGCAGGGGGTGATGCAGCTTCCACCCCTCCACATCACTGCAAACGTGGAGAAACTCGGCTGAAAGCTGCTGAAAACTCAAGCCCACAGTGCATTCAAAGGGACTAAATCGGGGCAGTGCTGCAGTTTCCTCATCACGTGCCTGGCCTCCGCCACACGGCTTTGATGGTCCCTCTCCAGCCAAGCCACCACTCGGCATTGCTGATGAGAGGCTCCCGCTGCCGCAGCACTGCCTTAATGAAAACAACTTGGACACACTTGGGAACTTTGTCTCCAAGTGTTTCTTGATATTGTACCTCAGTCACTTTATGAGTAAACCAAAAGAGCTGCGAAACCCTGGATTACAGCTGGGCAAAGGTGACTGAGGCTGATGAATTTATCAGGCCTCAACTTGCTGCTAGGGGGAAATCTTGAATACCTGTGTGATTGCAGGCATTACCATCTCCCCAGAGGCTTTGCAGCAGTGTTTCCTTGGGCGCCATCCCTTTGCACTGTAGATGTGCTCAATGTGAGCAGCGTGTGGCTGCCTCCTCCACTGGCTAAGCCCCACCTCAGAATCCTGCGGGATGCAGGGAGCAGCAGTTTCCCTGCCAGAATCCCAAATGGCCAATACACACACGCATGTTTTACATTAGACAGTCTGTTTTGGGCATAGCTCAGGTTTGCAGTAGCCCCATGTTAGGAACAATGAGTGAATCAAGCCATACCTATGCTTATAGACTGTATTTCTGCAGATAAATTAAAGCAGTATCTAATTATGGCCAATCTGCCTTTCATCTGCCTGGGTACTTGTGAGCCCTTTACTGTAATTCTGGAGTGCTCACAGCGTTGATCAGAGATTTTCAATAGTTTAACTTTAAGGGTCAGCTCCTCAGCTGTGTAAATCAATGCATTTTCCTTGGCTCTGGAGCTGATCAGAAGGGGGGGGGGCTCTTTCCTGGTACAGCTGAGAAACTGGTCTTCAGGTACTGCAGCAGTTTTGGCTTGGAAGTTCATGAGCTTTGGTTATGGTCACTGCTTAAGGCAGAAAGAAGTTGCAAAACTGAATGAAAAAGAGAAGGGAGAAGGGAATGGGTGGAGACTTGGTGCCTCTGTTTAAGAAAGAGGCATAACTGCACATCCACAAAACTGAACTCAGATACTGAAACAAGACACACAGTGAGCGGCTGCTCCTCTGCCAGGACTGTGGATATCAAGAGCGTGCCCCAAGTGCCAGTTAAGCAAAAGCCATAATATTTTCTTTCCTGGAAAACACTGCATCTTTTCTCAGCACTTGCCTGGCTCCACAGAGAGGCGACTGACTGGGAAAACAGGAACTTATGGGGAGATGCCAGCTTTTATTTGCTACAGGAGGTGAAAGGTTCCCTAAAGCACAAAGGAGCTTTTCTTGCCCAGACGATCCCATCGCGGTGCACATCAGCACAACTGAAGCCTGCGAAGCTCAGAGCAGTCAGGAGAGATCTGGGGAAACTTGAAAGGAAATCTTTCCAAACATTCCCTGGCTTTTACCCATACTTCCCCATTCGGCCACAGCACAGAAACCTACTGAAAACCGGCCGTATCCCCGGTGTCTGTTAAAGTGACAAGCACAGCCCTGAGCAGTCCCCAAACCCCTTCCAGCACAAAGCCTGACTTTATTGTGCTGCACAGAGATTAATAATCTTATCGTATCTATTGTGAGTTGATGCAATTTCTCCCCACCACCTCCCCACTGATGTTTCCTTCTGATCTGCATGTGTAGCTTAGCTACTTACAGCTGAAAGGAAGGAATCTGGTAATACCTTCCTAAAGAGGTGCCCGTACTGCGGCTGCCTGTTCCAGTGACCGAGAATGGAGATGTTGGCTATTGGCAAAAGAAAAAAGGACTTTTTTCCCAACATCCCAAGAGAATTAACCTCATCATTAAGGTATTTCTTGTGCATTCCAAGTTAAAAGAAAACAAAAAAAGGAGGGGGAAAAAAGCTGAGGATCTGAAACCGGCTTCTGCTTAATCAATCATTCCCATCGGATTGTTGCTTTTAAAGTGCATCATTACAAACAACAGATGGAGGAACAGCTAGAACAAGGGCGGGTGGGGGACTGTCACCCTGGTGATGGGCATTTTCTGCTCGGATGGAACCAACCTCCCTGTTGCTGTTTCAGGTCTGAGCGGCGGCTGCTGGGCAGCTCCTGGAGCACAACGATGGCTTCGCCCTGGGCACCGGCAGAGCCCCTCGGCCAGGCAGGCGCCTGAGGCTGGTCCCTGTGCTGCGGGAAGAAGGCTTTTCCCTGGGAGAAGGCACCTTAGCGATGGGCTGAACTTATGGGAGGAACCAGCGCCCGGCCAGGCGGAGATTCAGGGGCCCGTCGGGAGGCGTGAAGGGCCTGGTTTCAGTAAGGGCATGGCCAAAGCTTTCTTCAGGCTACAGAAGTTTCTCCGTCGGACCCAGTTTCTGCTCCTCTTCCTCACAGCTGCTTACCTGATGGCCGGCAGCCTCCTGCTGCTGCAGCGGACCCGCATCATTATCCAGCAAGGCTCTCGTGGGACCTCCTCCAGCCAGGCCCTGGCAGTGCTGGACGGGATGGCCGGGGCTGGGATCATGGACCCGCGCCCCGCTCCCAGGCTGCCGGTGGGCATGGACGCCCTGCAGGATGCGGCCCCGGGCCAGCGGCACAGCCCGCGGTGGCTTGTGTCCCGCAACTCCGAGCTCAGGCAGCTGAGGCGAAGGTGGTTTCACAGGTTCATCAGCGACCAGGAGCCCGTGCAGACAGCGGGGTTCAGAGCAATGAAGCACACTGCTGAACACAAAGGTAAGGGATGCACCCTGCCCCTGCGCTCATGGACTGCTCCTCTTCCTGTTCCAGCGCTTCATCACCCTTTCAGCAAATAAATGCTTCCTCAGCTCCATCTAACCCTGCCCTGGTGCAGCTTGAGGCCGGTCCCTCTTGTCCCATCCCTTGTTCCTTGGGAGCAGAGCCCAGCCCCTCCTGGCTCCATCCTCCTGTCAGGCAGTTGTAGGGAGAGATCAGGTCCCCCCTGAGCCTTTTCTTCTCCAGACTGAACCCCCCAGGTCCCTCAGCCCTTCCCCATCACCCCTGTGCTCCAGGCCCTTCACCAGCTCCATTCCCCCCTATGGCCCCACTCCAGCCCCTCAATGTCTCTCCTGTAGTGAGGGGCCCAGGAATGAACACAGGATCTGAGGTGCAGCCTCATCAGTGCAGAGGAACTCAGGGTAGGGGCCACATCTTTCCCTGCCAGGGAGGCTGGCAAGTTCCATCAGTGCATCAAATGAAAACAGGAATTTCTTCAGTAAAAAATTAACATTTCCTGTTAGGAATGCTCCCATGGATGGGGTGTTTCATACTGCTTCCCTGACCTGGTTATGCCATCACACAGGACACAGAGGGACGGGGACTGGATCACTGATACGATGTTCCGCTCTAAGACCTGGAGTCTCTCTGTGACTCACTCACAGGATGTGATTTGGGATACCCCTGGGGTCTGGTGCTGTGGGAGGGATGCAGGGAGAGCACCCTCTGGCTCCTGACACAGCTCTTGGGCCCCACACACTGAGTTCCTCTGCTGCTGGTTTGAATCCAAGTGCCCAAATCCGAAGCCTCCAGTGAAATGCAGAACATCCTCACTGGAGGCAACTCCCAGCCCGCCAGCAGGGTGCTCAGGGTGTGCAGCGCATCCTGTGAGCTCTCTAATTGCACATTCACAAATTACCAACGTGCAGGTCTTTGAATCTGCTCATGTTGGTAATATTTTAATGTTTGATTTATTATTCCAGGCTCCAGAATCTCTATTAGAGTGCCTTAAAGTTTCCTTTTCTTGCAGATTATTTTATTGATAATATAATACTTTTTAGTTTTTCATCATATATTCTCTTCCTGTCCAAGCTCATGTTATTTAACTTTCCTGTGTTGTCATCTCAATGCTGCTAAAACCAAATTTCCTTTTTCCTTCATATTTTAATGATAAAATGTACTTATATACACACAATTGCTGTATAATAGCAGGACTCCACATCACCCTTCCAATCGTATATTAAAAAATGGCCTGGATTTTTATAGTGTTTTGTTCACGAGAACAAAAAAGAGGCTTCACATAGGATGCAGTCTAAGAGAAATATTTATCTTTCATATGCTAAGCAAAGCAAGACATATTTTAAGAGATTCATTTGCACCAGGGAGAAGGAGATAGTTGGATGCGATAACCAGCCAGTGCTGCCTACTTAAGACTGAAGTTATCTTTCCATTATAGCTTTAATATAACTCTATGTGCCCAAAGAAAATTGATTTTCGTAATATTTCTTTCGCATCATCTCATTATCAATTTGAGATTTTCAATAAAACTTGGGAGAAATCCAACAAGATTTCTCCAGGTCTTTACTGCTTTGAAGAACACCTCCTCCTTCACTGCAGAGACTCACAGGGCATTGCCACGGAAGGGAGGGAGCAGGAGCTGCAGCTCAGGGTGGCCACAGTCTGGCTCTCAGCCTGCTTTAAGGAGCTGGAGGAAGGGAAAAGGCTGGTTTCCCTTCGGCTCATTTCCATTGGACACTCGGGCTTACCCCTGCCATAGCTCAGAACCAGCAGCCAGGACTGCAGGGTGGGCAGGATGTGATGTGCACCCCTGTGCAGCTTCTGGCAGTGAGTGCCGCTGGATGGATTTGTCCCTTTTCCCTGTGTCCATCCCATGCACGTTGTCCAACTGTGCTCTTGCACACAGGTACCTACGTGGGATGCTTCAGTGATGATTCGAGGGAGAGGACGCTGAAGGGAGCTGTGTTTTATGACTTGAGAAAAATGACAGTATCCCACTGTCAGGAAGCTTGTGCCGAGAGGTGAGCGGGAACTGCTCAGGGCAAGTTTGCTCTTCTCTGAGTTTGAAATGGGAAAAGCATGCACACATTAAACACACAGCATGTGTGAAAACTGTGATTCTCTCACACCTTCAGGCATGCCATAGCTCTGCTACCTTGCTTAAGTAGACTGTTTCACTGCTGCCTAGTCTCTTTACCATAGCACGGCTACTGACAATATGTTTTCTGTTGTCCTGGTCAAGAATCACTGTTTTGTTAGATGGTCTCTGTGGTCTGTAGAGCATTGGAACACACGTGGTGCCTGTCCCCAGGGCCGGCTGCGTCTCTGGAGCAGGGTGGCAGAAGCATGTGCCCGCATGGGGACAGGTATGGACTCAGGAGCAGGCAGAGTGCCTGTCCCAGCGGTGCCTGCGTTTGTTCCTCCAGGGCTTACACCTACGCGGGGCTGGCGTACGGAGCAGAGTGCTACTGCGGGAACAAGCTCCCTGCGACCACCTCCAAACCCGAGGAGTGCAACAGCGAGTGCAAGGGGGAGAAGGGCTCGGCCTGCGGAGGGGTGAACCGGCTCTCGGTCTACAGGGTGGAGGAGCTGCGAGCAGGAGCCAGGCGACGTAAGTGGGTGTTTGTGTGACCGGAGGCAGGCGGCCTCTCCCAGGAGTGATGCTGGCCTAACCCACGCTCAGAAATGATCCTAAACAAAAGACTGCAGCAGGACAGTAATTAGATAGTAAGTAGAGGAAGATTGTAAGTGTGAGGGACACCAATCTCTTTCCCAGACGAGAGATATGAGACCAGAGTTTTGCTCTGTCCTAGTTGTGGTTGGGATTTCTGTTTCATCTTGAGATGACAGTGCTTACGCTACTTGTCATTCAATCAGGTGCCGTGGGAGATACAGCACATAAACCTTTGGGCCAACACAAAGCACATAAAATACCTAACAGCTGAGTTGTCTTTATTTTTGGCAAGCTCACAAGATCTTACTATGTTATTTGCTGAGAAGAAGCACCAAGACCTTAGGTTGTGCCAGTATTAATGGTACTTCATTTCTTCTTAAAGACAAGTCAAGGTTTGTACAATAATCCACCCAGCTACATATAAATTATATATCAAAGGTACATAGACCTAAATTGCTCGTGTCAGGCTGACAGGCACATTGGCAGGTTTCCCAGGACATGCATCACTGTCTAAATCTTAAGCATAAAATATATATACATCTTTCACAGAAAAAGGGTGGCATTTATTTTTCTCCTAAGTGTTAATGAATTAGTCATCAAATTAGTCTAGCCTGCAGCTAGATTTGTATTTTGGTTGCCCTTAGTAATACTTGATATTTGACTGTTTGAAGAATCCCACTGACAAGCCCACAAGCTAGCTGAGAGGCCAACAGAAGCATTAATCACAATGAACAAGCACATTGGGAAGTAACTCTGACACCACCACAGCACCTGCGATGTGCACGATGCCGTGCAGAGAACAGACCTCACGTAAGGCTCCTGCTTGCACACAGCACATCCAGTAGCGTCTCCACTCAAACCTTCCCTGGGTTTGGCAGCTCCTGGCTCCATGAGCATCACAAACTGCACAGCTCCCATGCCAGGACTGTGCCCCATGTCATGTTAAACACAGGGAAGCTCAAAGCCTGAAGCTAATGCCCCTTGGCTCATGCTGGAGAATCTGGACCCTTCTGCCAGAAAATCCTTGCAGAACCAAAATTCCCTTCAACTCTGCATCTCTCCAGTCACCCAACACGTTTCCTACATCAGTTCTGGTGAGTGTTCTTTAAGGTAGCAAATTGGTGCAGACCAGGAGAAGACCCAAATTCCCTTCCAAATCCTCCTTCCTCCCTGCTGAGTCATGCTAGGCAAATTCTGTCAGCAGAGTTAGCAGAGTGATGAAATAAAAGCATTTTCCACCTTTGTAAAGCCAAAACCAAGCCCTAGGAGTTACAGAACCACTGAACATGCAGGCTCTTTTCTAAGCAGCCGCACCACACTATTTCCTCCGTTACCATCAGTTCATTTGTGCTGATGTGCAGCCTCACTGGGGCAGGGAGTTCCCATACAGCTCTGGGTATCACCTGTCTCTGCTCAGGAACATTGCTCTCTCAAGCAGGAGGGGATTGGTACTGCTGCTTGTAATGAGCATTAGGGCCAAACCCTGACTTCAACCACAGGGATGCAAAACACAGGGCAGTTCTGCCAACCTCCGCGGCACTGCCACAGGAGCAGGGCAGAGCAGAGGCCGATGCTGAAGACCTGAAGAAAGCCCTTCTCCCCCAGCAGCTCACAAAAGCCTAGTTCAGATTTCCAAGGCTGCAGCAAACACCCTTGGCCTCAAAAGAAAGTGAATGGGAAGAGAAGGGAGAGCTCAGAGCCGGAGCAGATGTGCAGGAAGGTGGGTCCCTGGTGGGGGCTCAGGATTCATTTAAATTCCATTCCTTTTCTGGTGCAGATCATGGGAAGCTTTGTAGATTTGTATCGGGGCTTTTAAGTCTTTCAGGGGAAAGCATGTCTTGAAAAGAAGCCTGGGACCTGCAAACAATAGCAATGCCCTCCGCTGGTGGAATGCAATCTAAACCCTTTGCTGCAGCCCAGCTTTCGGTGGTTTGTACAAAGCCAAAGGCATGTGCTCCTTTCAATGCCACAGGATTTGCAACAGTTTTCTAGTGCCTATCGTGGTTTCTTGAATTCTACAGCATTTGGAATATACAATTTATTTTATTATTTTTAGCTTCGAAGCTAATACTGTTCTTTGTGAAAGAGGCAGGATACTATGGACATTGTTTTCTCAAGAGAAACCTATTTCATATCCCTGCAGGGAGGAATGTTATCTATCGAGGATGTTTTAGAGCTCCAGCAAATTTAACAGACACCTTTCCAGCCTCTTTGATACAGCCCAATTTGACGGTGGAGATGTGCTCTGAATTTTGCTCCAAGAAAGTAAGAACAGTTCTCATTTCACATTCTTTCTTTTTTTGTTATTTTAAATTTTAATCCACTAAGGGAATAACAGAGATTAGTGCCTTAGAGCTTTGAATTTGTAAATGAGTTTCTAAAGCACAAAGCCCATCACAGTAAATAGCCAGTGATGTATCTGGTCCAGCTGCTCTCCCGAGTGGGCCTGATGGCAGGGAAAGCCATCAGAGTGATGCCACTAAATATCACACACAGAAAAGCTGTTCTAAGCAAGGAGTATCAGCTATGAGGAAATTGATGCCATTTCCATGTCACACTCAAACCAAGCCCAGAGCCAGATCTGATCGCAGGGGACGCCTCGGTGGCCCCAGTGCCCTCCAGAGAGCAATGGGGAGCCCCTGTGGGTCCAGGTGAGGGAGAGGCAATCCCAGCGACCTCCTCCTGGTGCAGCCCTGGGCTCCCCACAGGCAGCAGCATGCATGGCCACAGAAAACAGGAGGATCTTACATGAGGCATCTACACACAGTTTTTACACCAGTGTGTAACTGTGTTGGCTGGGAACGTGAGACACTCAGATAAGCACACTGAAAGGAGGTGGACTGTCCTGGTACTTTAATACAAATGTGTGTATTTCCACACCGGAATTTTTACCATTTTCACTATAACCTATGTAATTTAGATGTAACATATTTCAATTTAAAATGGAACCATTGTAGAACTTCATGTCACTATGTAAGACTTCCAGAAAGCAAAGAATAAGGTCAGTTATGTGTCAGCTTTTGGACAGAAGGTGAGGACATACCAACATCTGCTGCCCTAGGGCACTCTCTTGGCCTGAAGCAGCGCCTTTGCTCATCCTCCACACTTATCACAGAGTAAGACTGAAGGAGTTTGATGGATGTGGGGATCTTCATGGGAGGGAACGTTCAGCTCAGGGCAGCCTCTGCTTTGGTGGTTGTTGTGGTTGGTTCCTTTCCTCCCCATCCCATAGGGCTTATTTTTTTGTTCAGAGGAGGGTTCACTGCGTGGTCAGATTCAGCCTGCAGCCACATCCAGCCTCATGCACTAAACTGAACGTTCAATTACTTTGTCTTGTAGCATCACAAAACTGATTAAAACTATTAAGGCATGAACAACAAATCTTAATTACTAGGTAAAGTGGGAAAGCTTCTCCCAGTCACCATACCCTCTATAGCAGCTCACCAGTGTAATGCATAACGGAATTAGCTCTGGTTGCAGTGATTCACCCACATACCCTGTGTATTAACACACATGCACCCCCATGCATGTAAATGCATGGATGTCAGGACGTCAGGAGCAATTATGTCCAAAGTTCTGCTGTTAATCTATTGTTTAATGGTGGGAAGAAATCTTGATCTTTGTGTCAGTTTGCACACATGTAACAATTATATCAATATTTACTGATGAAGTGCAGTTGATGATTCTCAGTCTGGGAGAGTGGCATGAAATAGCTGGAGAAGCTCAAACACAAGGTCAGTGTTTTTAAGCACAATCGTGCCATTTTGGTGTGGGGAGATGTCTCTTCTGAATGAATGGGTTTCAGAGGTAGAGCTCCTTCAAGGTTTTCTGACCATGCAGCCAAAAAGTGAAAACATCTGAATGACTGAAAAGGATACAAAAAAGACCACAATGAAAATAGTACCATTTCAGTCCGACTTTGGAACAGGACTTGGCTAGAGGAGAGCAGCAGGATGGAGGAAACTGTCCATCTCTGCAGAACAGCTCGTGCCTTTCCAGAGCTGGAATCAATGCCTACTGCCTTGATGAAGCTTGTGTGAGAAAGCCATGAGCAAACCAGATATTCTAAAGGATTATCTGAACATACTCCTGCAGAGAGGGCATGGAGAGGGCTGCAGAAATGATAGCACAAAGAGGAAAAGGTACTGAAGGAAGGTGAAGAAAATGTTTGGTACCTCTCTCATTTATTCCCTAAAGTGGAGCGGGTAACACATTACCCCCCTGCCCACAGCCCTGCTGGACCTCATGGCACCCTTTGGAAAGTGACTGTTGGAAAGTATTCCCCTAGAAAAGGGCTGACAAGGTCTCCCTCCACTTCAGCAGCAGCAATTGCACATCCATAAGTCCAGTTATTATGCACTGATTTGTGCTTTAACTTTGCATACCAAAAAAGGCCCTGATGCGACACTACAAGCATTTGTCCCAACTTGGGATCCTTTCCTTGCAAAATAACGTGGACAGCTTCCTAGCCAGTAGCAACACACTCCTGAAAACAGGAACCCCAGTATTTCAGTGACTTGGCACACTTGGATGTTACCTGCTCCATGGTCCTTTTACTTTTCCTTGTAAAGCAATACACAGAGGACAGTAATTTGCTAATTTCAAAACCAGACCTGCTGTTTTAAATCCCAGATGTAGCTATGTGCCACTATTTACCCATAAACAAGAGACTCCTGGGACTTGGATCAAAATCCCAGGAGAACGTGGAATTCACACAGAGGGTTTCCAGAGCTCCCTTTAGATATTGTCATTATTTCTCTAACACCATAAACCAAGGAGCAGTGGGTCAGAACCTCCGGTGGCGCAGGCACTCAGCCTCCCACCACACTCCATTCAGTGACCGTGCTGCCACCACTGGGCCTGGGCTGCCCGGCACTTTTGCAGGCACAGGAGCACAGGGCAGTGCTTGGTGAGGTCTCTCTGCAAAGCCTGTCGCTCGCAGGTACCTCGGCACAGGTACATTTCTATTCCAGGCTGCATGGGAGGGCTGGGACGTTTATTAATTTCTCAAGCTGAGAAACACTGCTTCATTGCAAAGGGAAAATTCCTGACTGCAGGCAGAAACAGCCCTGGTTTGCTCTTGGATCAAATCTGTAAATAGTTTCGTGCCTCATTTGCTAAGCAAATGCTGGCTGTTTGGGCACACATGTGTTGTGTTTGACTCCTTATCAGAGGATGAACATGCAGGAAAGAGCAAGAGATAAGCTGCTCAGCAGTCCTGTCACACACTCCCAGGCTCCAAAAGACTTTTAAAAGGCAAAAAGTGTTGATATGGAAGTGGAACTGAACGCTCTGCACTAAAGTAACCCCAAACTTCCTCCAGGCATCCCCACAGAGCTGCCCTGGGGACCCTGGAAACCCAGGGAGAACATCCCTAGTCCCCTGGTAGAGAGAACTGAACTTGAGGGTCAGCTGCAGCACAGTAGTAAGTGCACTTTTCCTAGTGAGACACAAGCAGCCGCTGACTTCTTCAGCAAATGATCAGCACATTTCCCTCAAAGTTCCCTTAGCTCCCATCAGCGCCAGCCCAGCCCCACTGCCCCAGCACCTCCTTGGGAATTACCTCCTTGCAATGAACACTACCTGTGAGTAGTGTGTGGTTGCACACCTTACACCCTGCCCAGGTACCTGTCATTTGCAGCACTCAGCCTGGATTTCAGGCGAGGTTTCCCTATCTAGAAGCAAGGTAGAACCTCCCTCCAGCAGCAGGCACCGCACGTCCCCTCTGCCTCCTCTGGCACAGCCCCACACTCACCCTCAGTGGGGTCCCTCTGAATACATGTGCCAAAAATGACTTGGTACCACATTTCTAAGTGGCTTTTTTAGAAGTGTACACAGCAGCTCTCAAAGCCTCTGCCAGCCCCTCCGTGCCCCTTCATTTTCTGCTAACTGGGAAGAAGTCACACTGAGACATGTACTTCTTTATGGATTGACTTTTTCTGGGTTTAAAATGACATTAGTCAGTGGGTCTGAATTCCCTCTTTGCTTTAATTCTTTAAGGGCAAGCTTCCTCTACACAAACTCTGGTATAAGCTGCATAAGGCAAACCTGTTACCAGCAGAGTCCTCCGTTTGAGGGAATGTAAGTGGAAGTTTAAAAGATGATCCAATTCAAAATGGGTGAAAATAAGAACAACTTTTCCTACACTGAAGTTTTGCAGATAGAATTACATACTAGGGGCTACAGGACTATTATAAAATTATGGCTTATGAATAATTAAGAAAATCAGAACATTTTCACTTCTCATGCTTTATGCGGTTTGTGTCTGAGAACCACTCTTACAGCAATTGCAATATGAAAAGCACTAGAAGCATAAGACGCGTGAGCTTTACAATGATATATCAAACACCGCTTTGATCTTGACAGTGGCCTTGTGAAGATGTATTTCTCTTTGCACAGCAGCAGCATTCCCCACGGGCTGTTGATGTGGCGTTTACACACTGCTCTGTTTTCCCCTTCCGCAGGAGTTTCCCTTGGCAGTGCTCCGAGCACGGGAGTGCTACTGCGGCTATGCCACCGGGCGCTTCTCGCTGCACAACGGGGCGGATGCGCTGCTCTGCAGCGGGCTGCACAACGCCAGCAGCACGGCCAAGGGACAGTACTGCCTGGTCTATCAGACCCCAGTGCAAGGTAGGAGCACCCGCCCTGCCAGGGCAGAGCCAGCACTGCACCCCCCAGCAGTGGTGGGGCTCATCTCCGTCCAGTGGCTCTTTGAGGAATAGAGAGCATAATTGATAATTTATAGTTTATTTCCTGGCTTCTTGTTGAACTGTCAGAGGGTCAGGAGTGGCTCTTGTCCTACCCGTGCTTCTGTGGGCAGGCTAAGAAATAAGGCTAGGATTTACAAAAGCATGGTAGGCTGTCATAAAGTATCTCTAAAGTATGGAGACCAGTGCCCAGCCCCCATGGAGATGGACACAATAAGGCTCATCGCTACCTTAGGCCCTTTGGAGAGGACAAAGAGAGACAGGACATTAAGAGACACAGCTAGAGGTTTAACTGAAGCAGCTCCTTGCAGTAGGAGGGGTTTCTCCTGCATTATAAAACTGCAATTTCCAGGTGTAATGGTACATTCAGGTTTCATTGAAAAGCCAACCTGCCAGGCAAATAGCCCCTAACAAACAGGCATCAAGGGGCTTTTATCACAACTTGCTGGCAAGTACAATGGTTTGCCACACCTCTTTCAAAAAAGCATTGCCTAACACAAAACCAGCAAAAACCTCTTCTGAGGATAATCTCTCTGGCCTCTTACGGCTGAATTAATTTTGGGAAGTAGCTGAGTCACAACCGGACTCAAATTGATATCCCATATTTGCAAGAGAGAAAAGAAAGAAGCAATAAACGCAGTAATCAAGAGCTGTCAGGGAAATCATTAAAAAGCCACAGTGCTAACAATGAAATATCTTCTGTACTCGCAGACACCCGCTGCACGGACAGGAAATTCTTAACCACCAAATCCAAAGTGTTTGTTGCTTTGTCGAGCTTTCCTGGGGCTGGGAATACGTGGGCTCGCCATTTGATAGAGCATGCCACAGGATACTACACAGGAAGCTATTACTTCGATGGAGCCCTGTACAACAAAGGTACTGTGTCCCCAGGGATGGGGAGCACAAAGCCCCTCCGAGACACGGAGCTTTGGTTGCTCTGGCATCCTCCTGCTGGGACCCAGCGGGTGCTGCCCTGCTCAGCACACTGGCAGAATTCAAACCCGTGCCTGGAACGAGCATCGCTCACAGTGCTGGCAGCAGTAGGGACAGCTTCAACAGCTCCACAGGCAGCTGCTTTCACAGACCACAGCCAGAATGTGCAGGTCACCTGCACTGGTGCTGCTGAGCACACACACGTGCACAGCTCCCATCTGAAAGACTGGTCCAAAAGACCAGCTGACTCAAATGCCAACTAAACCAAGCCTTGTGTAGCACAGGAAACAGCATTTTAAAGTGTTCCTCACTGTGCTGGCAGGGCAGCAACCTGCACAGGCACGATATTCAGCAAGCACAAGCAGCGGCCCTGTGCAAAGCAGCCCCTGTACAGTGAGGTGCTGCCTGCGTCTCCCCAGTGGAGGAAAGCCATGCTCCCACACACACCCAGCTCAGACATGGATTTGACGGGCTGGTCCTCCCACTGCAGTTTTACACCACTGTAGAGAGTGATTTAGAGTGTGAAAGGTACAGGCACATCATCAAGCGGAAAAGCCAACAATCCTGTCTTGTAAAACAGGTTTTAAAGGAGAAAAAGACCACTGGAGGAGCAGAAGGACCATCTGTGTGAAAACACACGAGAGTGGCAAGACAGAGATTGAAATGTTTGACTCGGCGATCCTGCTGATCCGGAACCCATACAAGTCTCTGATGGCGGAGTTCAACAGGAAGTATGCAGGGCACCTGGGCTACGCCACCGACCGCAACTGGAAAAGCAAAGGTAAAACATCACCCCGGGGTGGGCTTCAGACACAGCTTCAAACCCAGCATACTGGGGAGGGGGAGTGCACCAGGACCAAGTGAGCCCCGCAAACAGTGGGACTCGATTCCCACCGCAGCCGAGCGCAGTCCCCAAAGTGCCTGGACCTGCACCTGGGGTCTCGCTGCGCATCCAGCACCAAACCTGTGCCCACAGGCGTGCAGCAGCACTGCTGCCACCGTGCTGTTTGGCAGAGAAAACATGTCCAGGTCCAACATCCCTGTGTACAGCTCATTTGCCAAGCCACGCGAGGTGAAGAACATTTGCCCCTGCAGCATGTAATAAACATGAGAAGTCTTATTTAAGATTTGGAGGATTCAATGGAGCATGACATTTCCTGAAGGAAATTTTACAGCACTGCACAGGTGCTACTGCACTGCAGATAAAGAAGGATAATAGCAATAAGGGGACTTGAGATTCAGTGTTCCTTGAACACACAGACTTCAGAATATGCCTGCCACGCTTCATGCGTTTGACTGGCAAGCTGATGGTGTGACTGTGATTTCCCCACTGAACACACTGCTGCATTCAGACACCAGCAGAGGAGGGATTCCACTTGCATATCTCCTCATGCATATTTGAGGCATTACAGCTGTGCCTTGGCAAGCCACAGAGCACAGGGCTGAGGGAGGCTGGGGAAGTGTTCTCTCTCACAGCACATTTCTTTCCCAAGATCATGTATTACCTTTCATCAGTCACAACTCAAAACCTATTCATCAAACCCAGACAAAACAGCCCTTAGTAGTAAGTCCAGAGGGAATGGCTTTCCCATAACAATTTGTAGTTTGCTGTACATTTCAGCCACAAGTGCTCTTTGTCCAGCCCAAAAGCTTTAGCTAGGACTATTAGATTATCATAAACAGCAAACAGAGACCGAGGTGTCATTAATGGGAGGCAGGGGTAGGAAAATAACTCAGTAAATCCTGTCCCTGTGATCGTGGTGGGTGACCCAAGATCCCTCCCATGTGCCAGGCACAGATGAATCTTCTGAACGCATCCTATTCCCCAGCGTGCGCGCATCCAGCACCACCAGCCCATGCCCAGCACCGCCAGTCCTGCTGCACAGGTAAGGCTTGGAACACGGCTGCCGCCAGCACGGCTAACACTGTCTCCTCTCCCTGTTTCCCGTGTGCAGAGTGGCCGGATTTCGTGAACAGCTATGCGTCCTGGTGGGCCTCCCACGTCCTGGACTGGCTCAAGTACGGGAAGCGCCTGCTCGTCGTCCACTACGAGGACCTGAAGCAGAGCCTCATCCCCAAGCTGAAGGAAATGGTGGAGTTCCTGAACATGACGGTGACAGAGGACAGACTGCTCTGTGTGGAGAACAACAGGGACGGGAGCTTCAAGCGGTCTGGTGCTAAGCAAAAGGATTTTGAGCCATTCACGCAGGAAATGAAAGATCTTATCAACAGATACATCCTGACAGTGGACGAAGCCCTGAGGGGAAGAAACTTCACAGGGCTGCCCAGAGAGTACGTGCCCAGATGATGACCTGGTGGTGCTCAGTGCTGAGCTTACAAACAAGATCATTTTTCTCAGAAATACAAAGCTAAAAAAACCCCACAAAAATAGTAATAAAACAGGAACAGAGCTTGATAGCCATTAAAGATACTTGTGGAGCCTGCTGAGCAGTGCAAATTCTCCCACTCAAGGGTGTTCTTCAGAGCACTAAGTGCTCCAGAAGGCAAGCAATGAAGGATGGAAACTGGGTTATAAACCAGGGCGAAAAGCTGTTAGTGTCTACCTGCGTGTGCCCCTCCTGCACCAGCGGCTCAGAACCTCACCAGGAGCAGCCCTGCTTCTGCTGCGGGCATCCTGCCCTGCTGCCGTCACAGACCTGCCAGGGGCCATGTGGGCTCCCACAGCACTGCATGGGACATGGATGCATGGAAAGGGGGAGGGAAAAGGCACCTGGACACTGATGGACGGTTCGATGGGAGCAGTTAAGGAGGTCACTTTCTTCCAGACCAACCCACGAGCTTCCCCCCGGGGTTTGCTTGTCGGGTCATCTGCCATGACAGAGGTGCAGGGGGAGAAGGTGCCCGTGTGCTGGGCAGGGGGGGCTTCAGAACCCAGCCCAGGCTCCCCTGCATGGCCAGGGCCATGTGAGCTCCACAGGGAGGTGGCAGCCACAGCATGCCCCCATGGAGAGGGGCCTGGGACCTGCAGGACAGAACCTCAGCATGGCCAGAGGTGGGCTGGGTATTGCCAGTCCCAGAGAGACCCCAGACCTGGCCCTAGGGGCATGAATGAGGCCTTGGAGGGGTGGGAGAGGAGGGATTGCGCCGGTGCCGGAGGCTCAGGACAGGTTTCGGTACCTCCATCTCTGTCACCAGAGCCACAGTGAGTCTGCGACAGCCACGTGTGCTTGGTGTGGGACTCGCTGGGTCCCCTGTGGTTCACTTCACCCTGTGCTGCGCTGCACCCGGTGCAGCAGGGGTTGGCCTCCTGGTCCTGCCTGCAGGCAGCAGCCACCAGAGCAGCTTGGAGATGGTCAAACCACGCAGCCGGAGGGGCTGCCCTGCTGCGAGATGCTTCTGTTCGTGTGAAATAAAGGATTCCTTGAAAACTTGAGTGAAAATACTAGTTTTAATAAAGCAACAAGTTTCTATAAAGGGAACTGGGCTTCCTCTGCGTGTGTATCATTGGTGCTTTGACCATGCATTCATTTCTTCTAGTGTTCATTCAAAACAGAGGGGGCCAAGACTTTGTGCAAACCATTTGAGCCAGTACAGATGCTGGACCAAATTTTACTGTGACTCCTCTGCTTCATACCAGGTCAGGAGTGACACTAGCAATAGCTCTGATAAAACCAGCCAAATGAAGTTGCATTTGGGACTGTCACACTCTAGAGGTCTATTGATGATTGTTCAGTTTTATTGAATTATTTCTCCATGTTAATGAAACATAGGGACAGATGGAGAAAACTACTAAAAATAAAGAATAAAGCCAGTTCCCTGTGAGGCAGGTTTCCTACACTCAACAAGCTCTGCGCTTATCACACTAAGCTTTAATTAAGCAGGATGTTTGAGTCAAAAGAAAGAAGCTATCATGTCATTAAAAGCCATGTTAATGTTCACTCCACTCACATTTCCCTTAGTTTGTACCCAACGGCAGCATATTAGGAACAGGAACATGCGTGCAATGCCCTCAAGCTGTCAGTTTTCTCCAGGAAGTTAAAGCCGTGATGAGTCATGAGCAGAACAAGAGGAAGCAGAGAAGCTGCATTTGACAAGAGAAGAGTTTAACATTTGAATTTTCCAAAGGGAACAAAACTGAAGTCCTGGAAAACTTTCACACGTAGGTGGGAGACAACCTCTCCCTACAGAGAGCCTGGGTCGGTGTCTCAGAGATCTGCTTGCTCCTGAAGTGCACTTACACTCACCTATGGGGGGGAAGAAGGTAAGCTGTAGTAGGAGCAGAGGGCATAATAGGCCAGAAAATGGGTTTGCTTCCTGGAAACACTTCAAAATAAAGCCTTTACAGCAGTACTAAAAAAGCACAGATGTCATCCCCAGCCTCCATACACAGCTCAGCCATTCTGCACTGCTTTATTAATTTTCCATTAAACTCATTTCCACTAAAACCTATTATTCACTGCTAAGACCAAGCTACTACTCTACTACAACAACATTAACCTCCATAAAATAATTAAGGGATGGATTATCAGCATGAGACCTTACGTGCCACCTCTCTGGAACCTAATGTGTCTTTCAATAGCCTGGAATATAATGAGATGTTCAAATATAGAAAGATGAGTTACTGCTTTCCTCAGTTGTGGCATTTATTCAGCCAGAAAGACCCAACTTCTCAATTGCATTACTTATAATTTACTTTTGACCCTGGTAGTTACGAGCAATCTTTAAGGAACCAGCCCTTTGAATCTCCTTTTTATATTGGCATTTAATTACTCCAACAGATTTCCAGATGTACAAACTGTAATGGACTCTAAATCAGCTCTTCCCCTTTGAACCACAGCCTCTCATAGGAAGGCATTTTTTACCCTTCTTCATACTCAGACCAGCAAACCCTCTCTCTCAGCATTTGCTCCTGTTCCTTACAGCATCTATTTACCTTCAGTTACTGGTTCTCGGGTCAGAGGTTTCCCCTGTCGCAGTACTCAGCCCAATGCTGCAGCCAGGCACAACCTACAGGCCTGGCCAGGGGCACTACAATGCTATTTTGGTGACAAATACAGGAACTCACACACACATCATCATTCATAGCTGCATAATTTTGACCAAGCCATCTGCAATAGCAGCATAGAGAAGAATGGCTGCTCTTAAGCCACATGAAATGGTGTCAAGCACTCCCATAAATGAAGAGAGATACGATTAAAGTGCATTATTAAAATGAAATGTTTAATGCAACAGTTCGGGTGGTGTGATAGGCCCAAGATTCTTAAATGAATTCAATTCTAATTCATGCTACCATTGCATCAGGCCGGTCCCTCTGCCCCACACCCAGGGCCGCATCCCTCCCCTTCTTCTGGAACCAGCCTGTGTTCCCCCTGCCTGGGGAAGGTGGCCACAGGCACCAAGTTGGCTCCTGCCCACATGGGGACACCAGGTGGGACTTTTCTGAGGTTCAAGGCTCACCAAAGCCTTGGCTGAGCAGCTCCAGCCCTGCCTCACGTGCCTGTTGCTGCTGCTGCCTTCCAGCAGTGCCACCCATGGAGCCCTAAGGCTTCCAGCAGCAGATGCGATGCAGTTGCAGGCTCTTATGGTTACTGAAAAGGAAACTCGTTTTCTCCTGGGGACCACAGTGCAGAAATCTCTCAAGGTCACTTGTGCATCACTGGGGTGGGTCAGAAGAAATCCTGCGCAGCTGGAGCAGCTCCTGTGCATACGCATTGACTGGATTACAAGCAATTATCCTGAAACCACTGCAGAGGCAGAACAAACTACCCCAGCCTTTGGATTTCTAAGATATGTCGAATGTCTGCATTAACCTATAACGCCTCTAAAATAAAGCACTAAGCACTGCCTAACAAAATCACACAGCTCATTTCATAGAAGCAAATTCATGTCACAATGGATAAAAAATACAGAGAGGGAAATGATTTAAAGGAAACACCTTGCTAATGACAAGAACATTTCTCTGACGAGTAGGGTTATAAAGGAGCAGTGCGAAGTAAAACTGCACCCTTCATGAAGCATCAAATACACTGGAAACAAAACCAAATCCTCCAGACTGTCTTCCCCGTTAAAGCGATGCTCTGGAGAACTGCCAGGTGCTTGTAGGTATGTGTGTGTGAGACTGCACGGGTGCCTGGCACCATGACCTTGGCTCATCCAGCTCCAGTTCCTGGAGCCCACTGGGGAGGGCACAGCACCACACAGAGCACCCAGCACCACGCGGAGCACTCAGCACCACGCGGAGCACCCAGCATTGCAGGCACAGCGCAGCCGCCGTGCTCCCACGTGGGAGTTTGTGTGGTAGAACACTGTGCAGAACGTTTGTTTTCATCGAAACTGTATTTCTTTCATAGTCACTCATTTAAATGGATTCCGCTGTGCCTGTTTTATGCCTCTCTCCATTCCAGCAGAGGCTAAATTAAGCTTTGAAGTTCAGTGAGAAATCCTAATGGCATAAAACTTCAATGCCATTTCCTGAACCCCAGGGAATTAAAGAAAGGGGGAGAGAGAGAGGAAAGAAACCCCTCTTCTCCTTAAGTGTTTTCTACAGCTTGATTCTGAAATGACAGACTTTGAAAACAACCTTATGACCTCACTTCATGCATTATTCATATATACTAAACCATGTAAATATAGTATTCAAAGGTTAAAATAAAACTCCTTTCCTGTACAGGTTACAATTATTTAATATTACAACACAGCAACTTACATCATTAATATTAAACAGCAGACCGTGGAAAAAAATGACCCGAAATGAGCATGTACTCTTCTCCTCTGTGCGTAACATCTACACATTGCCCAGAAAACTGGCATGCTACAAACGTGCAGAAAGCTTTCCAGAAAGAAGGGACAAATTAAGCACTTTAATTTGGAGTACAACTGTGTAGCTGCCAGTTTCCCCTTGACTAAGTATGGAGTCTGTCAAAATATCTATTTGCAAGGATTTGCCTGGCATGGCAATAGTCTTAGGGGATCGAGTACCAGCAGTATCTCAGTTTTCGGGAACAATAATGACAACTGAGTCCCAGTCAGATGATAAATTACGGGCTTGTATTCAATAACTGCAACAATAAATAGGATGTACCTGGAGGGTACCCAGTACACCTGAGCCTGGACTAATTTAAGCCTGTGTCCCCCATACTGCAGAACTCATATACAACTGTGTGCCACAGGAGAGCCTGGAGGTGCTGTGCAGCTCAGACAAAATACTTGTCCCAAGGAGCACATCTGCTGATGGAGAAATCTTTTTTCAGTTGTTAGTGTGTCTTATCATAAACAGACACCCACATTTTGGGTCTTTCCCCCTCCCCAGAAAACTCCCCTGGTGTAAGCCAAGCTCAGCCCAGCCCCTGGCCCCAGCACAGTGCAAGGAGGGGTAGGAGGACCAGAGGGATGCTCCCTGAAGAACATACATGCATTGTAGGCAGCCTATTACATTACTTGTTTTATGGCACATTCACTACCAAGAAGGTCAGTCTGGTATAGATTAGAAAAAACTGCCTTTCCTACTCAAGGTACAGGGAAGTTAACGGTGAAGGATGAAATTTACTTTCAAACCAAATGGCAGCACCAGCCCTTTCATTTTCCAGTCTGCTAAGGTCAATTTCGAATGTTTAAGTTGAGCTGTATTAGTTCAGAAGGCCAATAAAGATCCATTTGCAAGACTGAGTTTCTCCTGTAACATTGGGATCCTCAGCACAAGAGAACATCTCCCACAGCATCTCAGCTGCAAAAGGCATTTCAACAACAGCTCAGATTATCCCATCTATTGCTGCTACCTTGAGACTGCAAGTTTTCCTGTGCACAGCACCACTCACAGCACCCTCCAGTGTCACCGAGTCCACCACTGCAGATGGGCACTAACTTGTACAGCATCGGGGACATTATAAAGGTCAGGCAGCCCACCTGGATCTGCTTAACCCAGTGCAGCTGCTCTCCATTCATCCCCTCATGGCTAAGCCAGGGCTCCCTGGAGTGCCTCATGAAGCAGAAAATGCCTTGGAGCATCAGCAGAGTGACACGCACAGGAGGAGGAAAAGGTTTCTGTGAAGGCACTCACTTGTCATCACCCCAGCGAGAAGAGTTTACTGTGAGATTACATTAACATCAACTATGACTAATTCCCAAGCTCCAGTATGAAATTTGATGGGCATTTTCTAACCCATTTTGTTCATAGCAACTCTGTTCTCAGGTCCTGACCATCTCCAGCACACGTACAAGAAAAGCACACAAAAGGGACAGTAACAGCTTGGGATTAAAACCTTCATGGCCTGCACAAAGTATGTGTGGTGAACACACATAAAACTGCTGAATGCGAGAGTCATGTTTCTGCTATACACAGGCAAGCTGTGAGAAAGAGAGAGGAACAAAGTAAACGACAGGCTGCACAACTTACCGAGTCCCCCAAGACCCTGGCATGGCTGTGGATGAAGCAATTCCCAACATTGAATCGCTACACAGTAGGAAAAGGCATGAAGATTTC